ACCAGAATGACAGGAACTCCAAATATGAAACTACTGTTACAAATTACCATCTGTAGTGCAGTAGCTTAGATCACAGGTATCAGTATATATAGTTAGTCAGGGTGAGAATCTTTCCAATTAACTGCTAGATTCAAAAATCTTCTGAATATTCTCAGGATCATTGCCTTGTTCATCTTTTACATATAACTGTATGGCTTGACATTGTCATGTTTCCTAGCTATGACTTAAATTTTAATGCAAAAACAGAAGCTATATTTGTTAGGTGAAAAGTCAAAATGAACTCATTTATTTCTTATGAAACTATGCATTTTATTTATGACTGTGCATATCCAAATCTGTAAATGCCATGGCGAATATAGTAGTAAGTTAATTATTACATACAAAATGTACCCCTTAATATACATAGTGATTAATTTCAGAATGTGGGATCATATATTCAGGAAAGAAAACTATAGCTATTGTATTACTAGTTTGCAAGATAATAGCCACTAACAGAACAGAGCTGTTTAACACTTACTATCCCATGAAGAAATGAGGCAAAGCAGTCAGAATACTTCCAGCTCCCATAACAGCACAACCTATGCCAATGATTTTTGGCCTGTGTAGTTTGGATCCAAAGTAACTTACAAACACAATTATGAGCAAATTTCCTAGAAAGTGAACAAAGTTACATCATCACGATCCATTCCAGCAAATATCAATTGTGTCTACTTTTGCTTCAAATAAAATTGAGAAAACAAAATGAATGAGAATAGAGCATAAGATATAACACTTTTCCTTGAAAACTAGACAACCTAGTGAAAAGCTAGAATAATACAGGGATTAAAGTATCCTAGTAGTTGGGAAGCTGATGCAGAAAAATCACCAAGGGTCTGAGGTCAGTATGGGCTAAAAGCAAGTTCAAGGACAACCTGAATTACAAAGTAAGACTTGGTCTCATTAAAAGAAAAATTTGTGTGCTTTGAGGAACATGAATAGTTTTTCTTTTTCAAATAGTATAAAATACCACATAAGCTTTGGGAATTTTTGTTTTAGAGTAGTAGACAATAATGAAAACTCTTGAATCATTTGGTCATATTAGTAAAGTGAAATTTTAGTAAAGAATTGAGAGTTGACCAGATGGCATTAAGATGAGAAAAAGAGGGAGAAGAATCTTCTTGCCCCCAAGGAGAGGCATTCATAAATGCATGTAGTCATTTGTTTCTAGTATTCTTTAAATTTCTATTACAAGGGCTGGCCAAATAGCTCAGCGGACTAAAGTGCTTGCAAGCAGGCACAAGGGCTGGGGTTCAATTCCCAGGGCCTGCCGAGCTGGCCCCACCCTGGAGTGCGCTAAGATGGCTATTGAGACTGGGCATGTTGGCATACACCTGTAATCACAGCACTTGAGAGGCTGTAAACAGGCAGATCACTATGAGTCTGACCTAGTGGTGAGACCCTGAACACCCTGTAGACCCTTCCCTAAAAAATAGAAAGAAAAAAAAAGAAAAAGAAAATTTAACTTCATTTTAGAGATGTATAAAAGGAAAGAGATAAATAATATAATAAAAAGAAACAAAATAAATTTCCAAACTAAACAAAGTCTTAAGCAATTAGGTGACAAATTCTTCCATTTGTAGTAGAAACACTGTACAAAGAAGGTCACCAATGTATGGTGGTAAAATTTTAACAATTGAGAAGAGGCACCTATTGTGGCAGGGAATCACTGGTAATGATTTCTCACTTACAACACTGAGTGTTATGAAGCAGTCATGAATGTCTTAAATGTTTTAATAATAAATTATTTAAATTATTAATTCTGTGTAATATTTTAATGACACAGAGAAATAAACACATTCCCAATAGGCAGGGGATCAGAAAATATGCCATTCATTCCATTCTTTCTGGAAGTAATTGCTACCTGGAAATATACTCCAGAAAACAGAAGAATAGAGTTGAAGTTACAAGAAATCAAGATTCAGAGGTAAGCAAAGGAACTCTAATAAGTTCAAATAATTAGTAAGCTAATTTGAGAACTCTATACACTTTCTTTAATCTTAGTAAATGGAAGAATGAAATATATGTTGGGAGAGTGTAATATTTTCTGAATTCTGAAAATTCAGAATTAATAAGAAAAAATATAGATATTTCTTCCTTACACAATTCCTTTTAAAATAGTTAAGTATGTTTTATAGAGTGAGAGATGGTAAATTTAAAGAAAATATTTGAAATCTATATGACAAATCTAATTTGGAGACTTCTCCAAATAATTAAAAAGAAACACGAAGAAGAAAAAATTAGTATAGAGATAAGGAGTTACTGTGATGATCCATCTTGATTGACAGCTTGATTGCTTTGAGAAATGTCCAGGAAATTAGTAAAGCACATTTCCGGGTTATCAGATGACTGACATGTTGGACAGCAAACCAGAAGGGGAGACTGAAGCTGAATATAGGCAACACTATCCAATAGCGTGGATATGAGGGAGGCAACAAAGGGACAGGGACTCTGGTTCCTTGCTCGCACGAGGCGAGCAGGTTTCTTCCCCATACACTTCCGCCATGATCTCTCTGCCTTATTGTAGGACTAAAAGCTAAGGAGTTGGCTTACCATAACTGAAATCTCAGAAGCCATCAATGAAAATAAATCTTTTCTCAATAAGTTAACTTGCACAGGTATTTGGTCATAATGACAAAAGCGAACTAATGCTGTATAAACTCATAATTTTTTAAAGTTTAATGACTATGTAACCCCTCACCATTGTGGGAGAAAACATTAAAATTAAACTGAAGACAACAAAACAATATTTTCAATGTTGTAGGAAAAAAAAAAAAGAATCAGTCGCTAGTATACATGTAACACATTGCTCCAAAACCATTCCATCTTCCCTGAATCATAGAGTCGTGGTTGTCTCACAGCTTGTCTTCATACGTGGAAATCTTGAGGGAGACAAGGAAAATCTTCACAGTGTGTTGGTGTTAAAGCCATGAGTCTCAGGAAGATCAAATTTTTTAAATATCCTAACTGCTAGGTAAGTGCTAACTGCTGACATTTTGAGCCAGTTAATTCTTCATTGCTAGGGTCTTTCTCATACAATGAAGGAAGTTTAAAAATATTCCTGTTTTCTACTTGAGGTACTAGTATCCCACTTCGCAATCATGACAAATAAATCTGTCTCCATATATTGCCAAATGGACTGAGGGACAGATGTACCCAGCTGAGAACTAGAGGCGCAGAACACATGAACAGGATTACTTCCACACATATGAACATTAAATTAAATAAATAAAAGTTACCTATCTCAAAGCCTCCATCAATGAAACCAGAAACAGAAGAAGATAGGTCAAATCTCCTTTCAATATGAGTAATGGCAGTTTTCATACTGATCCCAGCTATCAACTTACAAATAAAGCTGAATGACAGAGCTGCCAAGAACACCTAAAAAAAAATACAAACAAAAAAAGCAAAAGGAAAAGGGATGAAAAAATCAAAGGACTCTATAGTGTTTATAGGTATAGAAAATTAAAACAATTTTTCCAAAATATTATTTTATCATGAAAAGCATGTCTATCATTCTCCTACAGCAATTGATACTACTTAGCCATTTTAATATTTCTTCATTGTACAGAAAAAGCATTTCCTAACTTCGTTACATCAGATTATTTGAGGAGTACATTTAAACTTTTACTTTAAACTAATGTCACTAACTGATATAAAGGCTGGACAACACTCTCCATGGGACAGGGTGGCAAGTCTATTTTCTGTTGCATAGCCCAGACCAATGGAGGGTAGTGGCAGGACATTCTCAAAAGCAGCGTTTCCAGAAATCGGGCTGAAAGAGAGAAAAACACGCTGACTATAAAAGTTCTAACAGTTGAAATCAAGGAGGTAGGCATTTCAGAAATCATCAGGAAATCCTATGAAAGGAGATACAGAATAATCTGATTCTTATCCTAATAGATGCTTTTAAGAAGCTCAGAAAAAAGGTTTTATATCTTCTGTGGCTTTATTCTTTAAAAAAGTGTTAGCTTGAGACCAAACAGGTACTTGTAGAGTCAAAGTTCTCAGAAATTGATTCTACAATCAATAAAGGAGTAACTGACATAAACTCAACTCGCATAGTAGGATCTCTCCAATGAGCTAAAATTTTAAGAGTATGAAATGGGTTAGTTACATTGATGATATATTTTCTTATGCTGTTGTTGTAACACCTTCTAACTTTGTTCTAATGAGAGAGTAAAATTCAGAGAAACAGTGTCAGAACTTTCTCAGAGCTTAACAAAATGCCAAAGAGAAGAAAGCTCACATCTTGCATGATAAGCCTTAGACACCAGTAGCATACAGACAGAGAACTTTTAATTCGGAGTTTTCAAAACAAATGCACAAATGTTTATAATCATCTCAGAGATTTTTAAGCACTGCTGGCAGAAAGAGAAGACTGACATTGAACTGAGAGGTAAAGTCTGTGTTTACCTGCTATCGTGGCAGGTCAGCTATCTATTGTGATGTGAAGTTCTGGACTTGAAGCCAGAGGACTTCTCCAGGTTTCCACCTGCTCACAGGTACCATGTTGGTGAACTTATCTGCACCTCGATTGATTCTCTCAGCAAATATTTTGTTGAACAGCCACAAAAACAGCACTTACTCTGCTTAGTGATGGAGTTGAAATGGGCATGGCGGGACACAAAGAGTCAAAGTAGAGACAATAAACACTGTAAAAGAATTTGTGTTTATGGGGGCAACAAACAAGATAGACAGTGATACTGTCCCTGGTACAGATCCAACACTTGCTCATACAAGTTTATGTTAAGAAATATAGAGGAAAAAATGATTAACTTCCCATACGTTAAAGTATTAAAGAATATGGTATCTGAGGAGGTAATAGGAGTTTGTAAACTAAGGGTTGAATAACACATTTAAGATAAGAAGTATGCAAAAGCCACTTTTTGGTGGTGCAGAGAACTAGTACTTTATAAAATAGAAGGAATATATACCTATATACAACTGAAAGATAGAAACATGAATAATTGAAAATATCCCAAATACTGGAGGTTAATCTATATTTCTAAAATGTGATGTAGGGGCATTAAATTTTAAGGTTTAATTCTGATAGACATGATATAGATAGATAGATAGATAGATAGATAGATCTTCAAAAATTTATTAAAAAGCTGAATTTTTAATTGATGAATACAGTTAGAAAACAAAGTTTTCAGATACACTTAAGAATTTTTAGGGCAAAATCAGATTTTGTTATAATAATGCAAAATAAAAATTTCAGTTTTGTTCTCAGATTTCAAGTATGGATCACTGGGTATAGGAATATTAAAAATTTTGGATGATAAATTCCAGCAAAAGAAAAGTTTGGACCTTAAACACAGTGCAATCTTTTTTTTTTTTTTTTTTTTTTTTGGTGGAACCGGGGATTGAACTCAGGCCCTTGCACTTGCCAGGGAAGTGTTTATTCCACTGAGCCATCTCCCCGGCCCCTAGTGCAATCTTTTTTAAAGACATATTTAAGTTGCCCATAAACAAGCCAGCAGACACAACGAAGGCAGATCTGGAGCTCAAGAGAACCGTTTGCTAGGGAGTAGTTCTGAGATTGATTACTTTCCAAACTGTAAAGTGCCTCACTGGGCACTGGTGGTAACCGCTGACACTCCGGAGTTTGTGGAAACCTTGGGTAGAGGAGTGTTTGGCACAGGATGGAGTGACAGGTGGCTTCCGGGTCACCACTGTCATTCACCTCATCAATGGTCTTCCCCTCCTCTCTTCCTGAGCACTTCATTCTCATCCTGAGAATGAGGGGCTCTCCTTCAGACCTTGCTAAGGGCCCATTACAAGAAATAGTAATGATGATAACAAGGGAAATGTGAATTCCAGTGAAAAGAGCAGGGTGGCCGCTGTCTCAGCACATACTTGCCAAGAGACTAATGGAAGTAAGAGAACTGTAAGAAAGATAATAGGAAAAGTTACACATTTAAAACAGTTTGAGGAGAATTCCTTAAATTGAAAAAGGAATCTAAGGCTGGCGAGATAGCTCATCAGATTAAGCACCTGCTTAGGGAAGCACAGGGAGGGCGGGTAAATCCCCGGCACCACATGCTGTGCCTTCCCAGCCCCCAGGGCATGCTGAGCCAGACACTCCCAAATCAGAGCGTGGTGGCACACTCTTGTAATCCCAGCACGGGGGAGGCTGAAAACAGGAGGATCACTAGGTGTATGAGCTGTACAGTGAGACCCTGAAACAACCAAATACATTAAAAAAAACAGGAATCTATTGCTACCTGAAGATAGTGCATGAAATTCATAAGACAAAGCGCTCAAAATGCTCGCTAAAAGTTCTGTTTTTCCTTTAAAGAAAATAACGGGGCTGGGGAGATGGCTCAGTAGAATAAGCGCTTGCCTGGCAAGCACAAGGGCCTGAGTTCAATCCCCAGTTACACACACACACACACACACACACACACACACAAAAGAAAATAACGACACAGAAGGAAAATAGTCATACTATTGAAAATTTAAAATTCTAGATTTAAAATCAGGCAGTAAAGAAAGTTAAGGAAGGATATCATCAAAAGATATGACATATGTCTTAGTCTAGAGGAAGTGCTATCACAAACTATAACCAGGTAGTTTAGAATAAAACATACCACCTTGTCCGTCTGAGAGCTGAGAAGTCCAACTTTAGAGCTCCAGCTAATTTGATATCTGGTTGTCTTTCCATTATCTCATGTGGCCCTGAGGGCTAGAGTTTCCCCTCAGTGCTTTAGTATAACGGTCAAAATCATTTTCATAGGAACTCTAGACCTCACCAGTTTCCAAAGGGCCCACTTATGGTGATTATGATAGAAAATGTATTTTGAGAAGAAAAACTCATATTGTAACATGTTATAATGTTTTGTGATGGAAATATAAACTAGTCTTTCAGAAACATAACAAAGCAGTAAGAAAGGAGGATAGAAAGGTAGAAGGAAATTTTCATAATAAGCTTGCACATTAGGAGGGCTGGCGAGATAGCTCAATGCCTGTGTAGGCAAGCACAGGGATCGGGCTTTGATCACTGGCATGCCCCGCCCCTGGGCTCTCTGAGCTGCCAGGCATGGTGGCACACACCTGCAATCCCAGTGCTGGGGAGGCTGAGACAGGAGGATCACTATGAGCCCAAGCTGCATAGTGAGATGCTGTACCAAATACTTAAAAAATATTCCCATTAGAAAAAAAAATTAAATATGTCAAACATATGGAAACATTTACTAGTTTAATGACTTTTTTAAGTTAAATGAGTGGCAATAATGATATAAAAAAGAGGGAAGATTAGAAAGCTAGATTTTATTATTAGAAGGTACTTATATGACCTGTCAAATGATACGAAGTTATTTGAAAGTAGGATTTAACTAGAATTAGTTTTAAATGTATACAGCAAACATAACAGTAACCACTATAAAAGAGGAAAGAATATGCAAAAAGGGAGAGAAAATAGGATGATGTGAAATACTCAAATTGCTAATGGCAAAATGTAATAGACAAAGGAATGAAAGAAACAGAAAAAGTGTAATCAGCATAATAGATATTAATCCAACTATAACAGTAGTCACTTTTAATCCAAAGAGTACTAATTAAAACAACTGAGATTGTCACAGGATATAAAAAATCGAGACCTAATTAAATGTAGTTCACAAGAAACCCATTTAAAATATAAAATATGGTGAAAAATATAAGTCGATACAAAACACATTCACGCCTACACTCATGACAATGTCAGTGTGCATGGGAAGCAATGGGAACTGTCATTCGCTGCTAGTGAGAATGAACAGACCACTTAGTGGTTTCTTTTTTCTTTTTGTATTTTTTAGGGAAGGGTCTACAAGGTGTTCAGGGTCTCACTACTAGATTGGACTCCTAGTGGTTCTCCAGATTACAACCTCCCAAGAACTGGGATCACAGGCGTGTGTGCCATGCCCAGTCTCTATTGCCTTCTGAGTGTGCCCCGGGGGTGGGACCCGCATGGCAGGCTCAGGGATTGAACTCCCAGCCCCTGCGCCTGCTTGCAGGTGCTTTAATCCCCTGAGCTATTTGGCCGGCCCTCCACTTGGTCGTTTCTTAGAAAACAATACAGTCTTTTTTTTTCAACTTTTTTTTTTTTTTTTTTTTTTGTGATGTTGGGGATTGAACTTGGACTTTGTGCTTGCCAGGCATACACTTAATGCCACTGAGCTATATCCCAAGCCCAAAGTTCCTTGGTGTTTCCTCAAAAGAAGTAAAACTTCATGTGCAAACAAAAATCTGCATGCTGATGTTTATAGTAGTTTAATCTATATTGTGAAATCAGTATGTGTACAGATAAATATAGTATATCCAAACAATGGAATCTAATTGAGTGCTCAAAAGAAATAAACTACCCATTGAAGGTGCCTTACAGGCAATCCGTTAAAGAA